AGATTTCGCACGTGAAATTTGAAAATTTTCTGATGAATAAAAATATTTTTAATCTTACAATGAATATTACTTTGCATGATAGATAGGCAACATGCAAAAAGAAAAAAACAGACATGAGAAAAACATTGCCTTATAAACCTTAAGACTAAATAAAAACATTTTATATTTTAAGTATGAAAGCATTGTAATGTTTATTGATAATCTGACAAATTTTGTTAAGATTCACTTACTAATTTAAAAGTTATAGCATGAAAACTATAACAAGCACAAAATGGTTACGAGGTTGGTCCTAGGGACCGAGCCCGTGTTGAAAGAGTTAACATATGGCTATCACATAGCTTGTAATATTTACAAAACATTTGCATTGGTGAAAGAAAAGAAAAAAAGAGTTAGTACAAATAAAACAGTATTAATAAATTCTAAATAACTTACTGGATTGGCAATTAAGGTTGGTCACATAACTAATGTTTTAGAATGTACAAAAAACAGTGAGCTTCACCTTATGATCAATGTTGAAAGGTAGAAGTCTGCTTGTACAGTATTAATAAATTCTAAATAACTTACTGGATTGGCAATTAAGGTTGGTCACATAACTAATGTTTTAGAATGTACAAAAAACAGTGAGCTTCACCTTATGATCAATGTTGAAAGGTAGAAGTCTGCTTGTACACCTTGACAATAAATTTAAACATGTCTTTGTACTATATATAAATGTTTTTGTTTTATTTTAGGTTTCAAGGTTGTTTGTACAACTTGACAATAAATTAAAACATGTCTTTGTACTATATATAAATGTTTTGTTTTACTTTAGGTTTCAAGGTTGTTTGTACAACTTGACAATAAATTAAAACATGTCTTTGTACTATATATAAATGTTTTGTTTTACTTTAGGTTTCAATGTTGAAAGGTAAAAGTCTGCTTGTATAACTTGACGATAAATTAAAACATGTCTTTGTACTATATATATAAATGTTTTGTTTTACTTTAGGTTTCAATGTTGAAAGGTAAAAGTCTGCTTGTACAACTTGACGATAAATTAAAACATGTCTTTGTACTATATATATACACCTGGAAAAAAGTTAAGCACCCCCGTGTTTTTTTCAAGTGATTCAGATTCGACGTTCTTGTG